GCATCCCTTCCACCTGGGCTACCTGTGGCTGTCTTCATCATTTGTCTTCCTAGGGTGATGGGTGTTCTGTCTTAAGGAGGATATGTGACTTAGTACAAATTCCGCAGGACCAGTGAACCAGAGCGCCCTAACCTGGGAAGCCAGAAAACAGTGAAGAGGGAGGGAGGAAAGACACTGTGCCTCTTTTCCCCACTGACAGCAATGCTGAGCTCTGCCTGACTCCCTTTCTCTTGACTAGGAACTCCACACCATCTTTCAGTCTTGCCTCTCCCCCCACCCACTTCCCGCACCAAGCGTGAGGGTAGATCAGTTGCCAAATAAATATTTGCCGAGGGATTGGATGTTTAAATAAACAGAATCCTTTTACAGCCAAGCCTATTAATACATATTTCAAACTGTGTTTTGAAAACACCAACATCTGTATTCTTAAGAGTTTTACAGTTAAGAGTATTGGGCCTATTCTATATGGATGGTGCTAAGGAAAGTTTTTCTGGGAAAAAAAAGGCTTATAGCATTACCATATTTTATATAGATGAGAGTCTAAATTAATTGATATTCGTTTTCATGCCAATTAGTATTACAATATTATGCTAACTAGAATCTACAGTGTTACCTAACTGTTCTCCCAAGTTAGGTTAACTCATGTAGAACCTGTTTCTGAATTTGTGCAATGGGGCCAGTTATTGGGTTTGTGGTTATCGGCATGAGTCAAGAGTAATGTTGCACAATACAAATAATGCTAATACTATTATGATAGCGGAGCCCTGGTGGCACAGTGGTTAAGCATTGGGCTGCTAACCGAAAGGCAAGCATGTTCAAATCCACCAGCCACTCCTTGGAAACCCCATGGGGCAGTTCTACTCTGTCCTATAGGGTTGCTATGAGTCAGAATCAACTCGCCGGTTACAGGTTTGGTTTGGGGTTCATTATAATAGCACTAATAGTATAGTGCTATACTAAAGGATAGTAAAGCATGGTAAAGAGGAATGTTGATGGTTGGTCCATCATCCATTCTCCTCCGGGCCTGGAAAACTCACTGTTGCTTCCTGCCTTTGGGAATGAGTCACCTGGCTATTTTGCTTTTCACTTTTCTGTTGGGAATCATTCAAACCCCTTATCACAAATTATCTAAATTACAGTTTCTATTTCTTAACCGAGTGTTCAGGCAAGCCTTCCTAATCTTGCATTACTCTTACTCACCACCAGTTCAATTTAATTCTACAAAGAAAGCTCTCAGAACTTTTTCCAGGTGCTTTCAGGAGCTTGGACAAAAGCATTTCCTATGCATTCCCCTCTCCAATAATCTGATTTATATTAACATAGCCCTACTGATGTGCCAGAGCCCTGGTGGTGCAGTGGTTAAGAGCTTGGCTGCTAATCAAAAGATCAGCGGTTCAAATCCACCAGCTGCTCCTTGGAAATGGGGCAGTTCTACTCTGTTTATAGGGTCACTATGCGTTGGAATCAACTCGATGGTGACGGGTTTTTTAATTGATGCGCCTGTATACCTTAACTCCGTGCAGGTTTATGAGGACTCTTGGAAACCTTCTCGCAACCGGTGGAAACATTTAAGACTCTTGCTTCACTGTCTGATAACTGCCTGGTTATAGTCAGCGACGATAGGTTTCCTTTTAGACTGCGTGTCTCGGAAAGAAATAGATTGCAGGCACAGGCAAACAAATCGAGGCTTTGAACCTGCTGAATAGGAAACTTATCAATCCTCACAAGTGCTGCGCCTCTCCCTCCAGCTTTCAGAGGATCCGCCCCACCTCCTGGGCAAGGTACAGTGCTGATGCAACATCCCCGGTGCCATTCAAGGAGCGTGAGCAAGACGGGACAAGACAGAGAGGCCCCAGCCCCAATTCTGTCTCATACAACCTGGTTGTCCTTAGATGTACTTAGCCTCTCCAAATCCTCATGTTGTTATTGATTAAATTGCCTCCCTCCCCCAAATATGTGTTTGAATACTAACCCATATATCTGTGGGTGTAATCCTGTTTGGAAATAGGGTTTACTTTGTTATGTTAATTTGATCATACCTGAGCAGGGTGGTTCTAAAACTAATCACTTCTGAGTTACAAAAAGAGCAGAGTAGACACAGAGATAAGCACACTTAGGGGAAGACAGATGCCAGGCGAGGTTCACCAAGGAACCAAGGAACACCCAGGACTATCGACAAGGAAGGAATCGACAAGGCCGAGAATATCCCAATGCAAAAGTATCATTACCATTATTATTGTTGCTGCTGTTGTTGTTATTATAACAACCAGCTCCTTATTTGTTCAGTTTCACAGACTAGAACACTAAAATAAAATTAAAGCAAAGGCCTTGGCAGGGAAGGATAACCCAGTAAGCAACGTAAGCGCAAGCTTACTTACTAATCAGTAATGAACAATTTCACATGGGTTTCACCACATGATGTGGTAGATCACCAGGCCTCTCTTCCGAGGCTCCTCTGGGTGGACTCGAACCTCCAACCTTTTGGTTAGCAGCTGAGTGTGTTAACTGTTTGCACCACCAGGGACTCCTATGCCTGAGTAGCACACATATAATGCTTCCATTTGCTATTTATGTGCTGAAGTCAAATCTTTGCCAAATTATGTGCAGGAACACAGGGCCCCACACTTCGACGGGCCCTGTGCTTGGCTGAAAGCTCTGCTGTTCCCAGCCTGATAGTCTTCATAATTTTTTAACAATGGACCAAGTTTTCATTTTGCACTGGGTCTGCTAATTATGTAGCTGGTCCTGACGAATGAAGAGAGCTCCATTGCTCGTAATTGTGAGATACTGGGCAAGTTACTTCTCTGTCTCTCAGTTTTCTCATCAGTAAGATGAAGCCAATAAGAGTAACTAACTCATGTGGTTAACGTAAGGATTAAATGAGATCATGTGCCTGGCACCTAGTAAACACCTAGTCATAATGATTGCTATTTCCAAAGCCATGGGTTAAACATCCAATCCAAGTGCTGGGTAAGTACAAACACCAAGCTAGGTACCTTTGCAGCTACAACCATTAATTGAGGCTGCCAGAAAATGACATAGTCACTGGTTGCCACCAGGGACCTGACCAGATACTCCTGCTGATGTGGGTCTAGCCAGGTGATTCAATCTGAAAATGCCCCAAAGACTAAAGTCTAATTGCAGTTCACAGCTCTTGGTAAGAATTCAATCATTTACTGCTCGTCCCCAAGTGATAGTCTCTGGAAGAGCAGCTTCACACAGGAGCGAGCGTCATTCCTCCAGCTTAGAAAGAATAGTTGCTGGGGACTCAGCAGCACGATCAACAACCCAAAGCAGGTGAAACCCTCTCATCAGAATCAGTTACTAAGAAAGGAGCTTAGCACCCTGGACAAAGACCAAGTGGAGTCTGTTCTTCCTTTTGGCATGGTGACTGGTTTTGGGAAAGTGCCAGAATGTCTTCCCTTTTGCTATACACTTACAAGTCTATATATCTGAACACAAGGGGGAGAAAAAAAAACAATGTCATCAAGTTGATTCCAACTCATGGTGATCCCATGCGTATCAGAGCAGAACTGAGTTCCATAGGGTTTTCAGTGGCTGATTTTTTGGAAGTAGATGGCCAGGCCTTTCTTCCAAGGCACCTGTCAATTGGCAGCTGAGTGCATTAACCATTTGCACTACCCAGAGACTCCAAACACAAGAAAAGCTTTTTTAAAAAGAAATGTGTTGCTATCCTTAGATAAAAGCGACCATTGACACTGAGTAGTATCACCGATTTTCAGAAAATACCCTGTTGCTCCTAAGCTGTTCCTATATACATTGTAAATAATGGACACATTTTGCATGTCTGAAAAGTACAAAACCTCATGCTGCTCAGGAGAGCCTTTGCGGAAAGCAATCTGCTGAGACTTTAAAAGGTCCACGCCCTTTGCCAGAGCAATCCGTTGGGACTCTCTCCAAAGAAAACAGCCAGAGATGAAGACCACACTTCAAACACAACAATTTTTTTCATCATGGTGTTACACTGTTACAAAACTCAAAACAGCTTAAACCTCCAACAACATGTCATTACGGAGTGGATGGTGGGTTCAATGTAGTCCATCAAAGGTCATGTTTTTCAAAAAACTTTAGTAATATGGGCAAAAATTCACAGTATTATGTCACAAATTATATGAACAGAATCTGTTGTTGTTGTTACTTGCCGCCGAGTTGACTCCAACTCACGGTGACCCCATGTTTGCAGAGTAGAACTGCTCATAGAGTTTTTGGAAGCAGATCACCAGGCCTGTCTTCTAAAGTGCCTCTGAGTGGGTTCGAACCGCCAACCTTTCAGCTTAACCCAAGCAAGGGTGCTAATATGTATATACTTCACAACTAATGAAAAGATAGCTCCTTAGTTCCAGCTGTTCCATTGCCTGACTGCTAAGCAGTAGAAAATGTCTCAGGAAGAAGTGAAAGAATTACTAGGCTCTGAGTTTTCTTCTAAGCCTTAAACCCCCATGGGTGATAAATGAATTTCCTATTAAGTAATTGGAAAAACAATTATTACCTCACCTTATTATTCTTACTAACCTTGTACTA